TGGAGCAACCGCAGTTGTTTTAATATCACAGTGTGTATCAAAGATGTGTAGTGCACACAACCATGCAGTCACCCAAGGGGGAGGAAAAGCATTAATATCTCAATTTTAGAGAAATCAGAGCAAAACTAGCAAAAATTACTTTATGGTAACATAATAAAGGACAGAGTCAGGTGTGAATGGTTGTCTTCTAAACTGCCAAGAAAAAACACCCTCCTTCCCCAAGGATGCAGTCCAAAGCAACCATTTATTTCTGATAGGGATGAATAAAGGTTGTCTGCACAGAGACAATACATTCTGACAAAATACAGGCGGAAATGGCTCCAGCATCCACAGTCCCAATGAGAAAAAGATCATGTCTTTCTTCAATTTTATAAAATCCTTTATCTTAGAATAAGTTACTCATTTGTAATCCTTCCCACTATTTCTTTTATTCTCCTCTTGAATAAAAGATAAGACTGATAAAGAGTAGCTACATATATGAGGCTGAGAACATATGACAAGCGTGAAAGTGAGTCTAAGTGCTATCAATACATTCCTCAACTCCTAAAATCTCTTACCATTCAGAACTCCAATATTAAAGAGAAGGAAGCTCTAGAATTCTGCTATTTTTGAAATTCTTTGAGTATCAGTAAGTTTCATTTCAAAATAAAGACTACATTAGGAAACTCTATTATGCTGTAGAGAGAAAATTGCTTTCAGATAGTCATGCTGATATAAATTTCAAACGTGACTCTATATTTATGATCAGGTATTTTTGTTTGTTTGGTTGGTGTTTTTTTCTTGGTGCACCACACCTTGACAGTGCTCAGGATCACTCCAGATGACGTGGAATTTGAATTTGAACTAGGCCCAGCCACATGCAAAGCTAACACTTTAACCTCAATACTGTCTCTCCATCCCCAGTACTCAGACTTTTACCCAATTAACTGCAGGGAAAATTTTAGATATTCTACCTGAATTTGCAAAGTTTTCCAAGTGCATTTGTTGACTCATAAATTCCTTTTTATGTCCCACACAGCCCGGTGCTCTTTTCTGTCCTTTACTAAGTCCTGGTCACTTAATTTAGGAAAAGTACAAGTGAGCCCACTTGGATTTTCTGTTCTGTCCAAATGTGAGTCCCCCCCTTCCCAGAAAACCATTTAATCTACACTATTTAACCATTTGTATGTTTAAGGAAAAGCAGGTTAAGACAAAGGGAATTCTAAGCAACAACAGGTCAGATAGACTGAATGTGTCAGGAATGTGTGAATAAAAAATATCAATTCATTTTCAACCCCAAGAAGGCAAAGGTAAAGGCCCTTCCGTTGATCATCGATTTGCTCGAGCGGGCCCAGTAACGTCTCCATTGGAGGCTTTGTTGTTACTGTGTTTGGCATATCGAATAGGTCACAGGGAGCCTGCCAGGCTCAACCCCCAAGAATCTATGCAAATCAAATGCTTAGAATGAGCAGGGTGGTCAATCAAATTTAAAGGAAATACATGTGTACATATTTCCAAAAAGTTCAACAATTGTCAAATACTATTAATATTAAAGACTCTGTGGTACTGTGGATATTTTGGGGTTTGTATTTCATCTGTTGTTTATTGTTTTTATTTCTGAGCCACACCCATCAGTGCTTAGGGACTACTCCTGGCTTTGTGCTCAGAGATCACTCTTGGCAGTGATAAGGGGAACAAATGGGATGCTGAGAATTGAACCCAGGTTAGCTGGGTTCAAGATAGGCACTTTAGCTTCTGTTCTATCTCTCCAGCCCCTGTTGTTTTTGAGATTTTGTTTGTTTTACTTTTGTAAAAAAAAAAAAATCAAAATGGCTTCTCAGCTAGTCTTGGAAAACCTTGGAGAACTTGAATATTTTTAGTTTCTGTTCTGTCAGTGGATAGCCCAATAGTAAACAACATAATATAAAATGGGTTCGTTTTACTTTCAGGACTCAGTCCTCATTTCTTTTATGACTTCTCTGTAAATATCTTTTGGCAGGGGGAGTGTGTGTGTGGATGGGGGCAGGGGCATTAAGCATCATGTTTAAACACAGGGCAGTTAAGTTTTAGCATTCTTCACTAGGCAAAAAAGGTGGGAGTGTCTGGGCAAAAAAAAAAAATTCAACATCAATGTTATAGAAATGGGTTTAAAGAGAAATGCATAAGCTTTTGCAAAGGCTGGCTTTGAAGGCTGCCCTGCCCAGATATAAAAATAGATGACTAAAATGCAAAAATCGATTCTAATGGCAAACAGATCATTGCACTCTCCATGCCCAGGATATTAGGGAAACCTGAATATCTGATTTAGTAGCACCCAGGGAGTAGGCAGACCTGAAAACCCTCCAATAACCTTGAAAATATCTACTTCCTGTAGAAGAGAATTGAACACTCAAATCAAGACACGACTCTGCTCTTTGTCCCCCCTAGCAAGTGCAATGCTTAGAAGATATCATTTAATCTTCAGAAGTGAGATGTTTTCCCTAAGCAATAGCCTCCAAGTGATATAGGACCTGGAGTTAGGTCTAGAGGCCTCTGCTCCACTCAAAAGCTTGCTTCTCTCCCAGGCTAGGGGCAGGTCTGCGGTCCAACACTTAGGCCTTTCCTTCCGCTCACCTTCCACATGAGTGGGAGAAGAGTCTAGACTAAACTGAGAGTTTCCAGTGTCTCATTACCCAGAGATAACAGAAAATACCCTTGCAAGCACACAGAGATCCACGCTCCCCGGAGATGCAAAGAAATGAACTAGAGGGGCCAGAGCAATAGTGGGGAGGGTAGGGCATTTGCCTTTCACCAGGCAGGCCTGGATTAGATCCCTAGCACCCCATATGGTCTCCTGAGCCCGCCAGGAGTGATCCCTGAGTGCAGAGCCAGGAGTAAGCCCTGAGCACAGCCAAATGTAACCCCAAAGCAATGAGAGAGAGAGAGAGAGAGAGAGAGAGAGAGAGAGAGAGAGAGAGAGAGAGAGAGATCAGAAGAGAACAGAAGAGAGAAGAAAAAAAGGGAATGTACTGGAAAGGTAAGTGGAACTGCATTCATCTAGATTGTCTAGAAAAGGGAAGGGGATGCAAGAGGTCATCCTATCATCCTCAGTCCCAGAGTGGCTCCCTTCCAGGAAGGTCTGGGACCCAGGGACCCCATTGTGTCAGAGACTGTAGGCAGGAGGAGAAGGGGTCTGGCTAATCAGGATCTGCCTTGATCAGCCTGGGGTGTGACATCAGGAGCCAGGAACAAAGTGCATCCTGGCAGCCCCTCCCCGCCCCTCAGGCAAAACTCCACAGTCCCATAGTAGGGCTTCATGGGGGCCACCAAGACTTATCAAAATGTCCCAGCCCCAAGGAAGTGGCTAGTGAGACACTTTTTCAAGCACAGAATCCTGGCAGTCATCTCTCCACCACTAATTGCACTGGCAGTAACCACCCGCCCAACACTTAGAGCTGTCTCCAGGAGCAAGACCCCGAGAGGCTAGCAGCCAGGGAAGAGGGGCAGGCCAGAGACCAGGATATGGTGGGAAGTGAGATGAGCACATGAAGAGGATGCAGAGAGATGAAGGGTGTGTCTTTTGGGTCCATTCCTGGGTAAAACCATACCTCAGTCCCTCTGGTTAACCACTCGGGCACTAACTTCCATTGGGCAAGCAGTAAGAGGGGTTCACCTACAGCGGTAATCTCCAAAACCTTGAACCCCCTTCTAAAACACTAGAAGTAGCCCCAGATGCTTTCTTACAAAAGCCTTTTCCAAAACCCTTTTTCAATCCTAAACAAAAGTGTAGAGTAGAGACCCACAACCCTTTCACCAAAGCTTTGGCCCCTTATTTCCATGATTATTTACAAAGGAAATGGTTCCATCTAGAAAAGAAAACAAATAAACAGACAAAAAAAAAACCAAGCAAAAGACAAAGTGGAGGTCATGGGCCAGGACAAGTGAGTAGCCACTCGGACTTCAACTGATCACACCCATGTTTCTCCATCACAAAATCCTCCTAGGCTGGGATACAGTCTCAAAATATAACACAAGAGAGTTGCCCCTTGGATTATCTGCACAAGTGAAGCATTGAACGCAGGTGTGACCCCACATCCTTGAACTCTTTACCCAGAACCTGCTCTCTTGGTAAATAAAACTGCCACTCACGGGGAAGGTGTTCTATTACCACTTGGTTGCAGGGAGAAGAACGCCAGGCATGGATATATATATATATATATATATATATATATATATATATAGTTTTGGCGTTTCGTGCCTGATATATATAGAGATAGTGAGATATAGATATAGATATAGATATAGATATAGATATAGATATAGATATATAGATATAGATACCAGGCACGAAACGCCAAAACTCCCTAGGTCCCAGCAGGCTGCCTGCATCTGCAGTAAGGCCCGTGCCACCCTCTGTTTTTAAAAGCAGAGACTCTGGACTGACCGCCTGCCCAGGAGGCGCACAGCTGGCCCTCCCTTTCAGTTTTTCTGACCTTTCCAAAGTCCGGGGAGCGCAGAGCCTGCAGGGCAGGACTGCGCGCGGGTCATCTACAGCTTCAGCATCCCACGTTTTATGGCAGGGGCGCGAGGGTGCCGGTTAAAGAAAGAAAACACTCCAAAGCACCTTCCCCAACATTATCTCCCTCCTTGCAGTTTAAGAACGACCCCAAACCTTCCCTTGTCAGGTCTCAGTGGCGTAAATCAGGAAGGGGGTCGGAGACTGTTCCGGTAGTGTGTATGTGGAGAGGGGGAGCCCCGCGCTGTGGGACGCGGGCAGCGGCTCCCCGCGCGGGACCAGCGTTAGCCGGGGAGAGGGTGGCCACAGCTCCCTTACACGTGGAAGAAAACTCCACGTGTGACTAGATCCCACACAGCCTGCGGATCCCGATCTCGGGGGCTGTGGGTCTGGGCGGAAAAGAACCGGCCCAGACCTTGCGCACAGCGTGAGAAGTGTGTGCGCCGAGGCAGCGCGCGCGGGACCCCGAATCCTGTACCCCCGGCTGCTCGAAAGCCCCCGCCCGGACTCTCCCCCCAGCGCTCACCTACTGCCAGGCAGATGGGCAGCAGCAGCCTGAAGACGAGCCCGCACACCACTTCCGAGGCCATCCCGTCTGTATCGCGCGTCGGAGCCTAGGGTCGGGGTGTCAGACCCCTGCCCGCCGAGGGCGGCCGTGGAGCATCTCTTGGGCTGGGCCCCGCCGTACGCTGTCCTGGGCCCGCCGCTCTCAGCAAGCGCGCCGCGAGCCCCCGTGCAGGCGCCGGACCCACTCGGGCCGGCCCATCGAGTGTCCAGTCCCGATCCCGCTGCGGCTTCTCCGGTGGGTCACTAGGGAGGGTCCTGGACGCCGAGCAAAGCGGAGCGGGCGAGCGCGGCTCCCGGGCGTCGGGCGCAGTCAAGCGGCGCTCAGCCTCTCCGCGTCCCGGCTCCGGGTCCGAGAGCCCAGGTCGCCCGCCGCCGTGCACGCAGAACCATGCCCAGCGGCGGCCGAGCCCGCCTCCCTCCAGGCACCGGGACCCCGGGGGCGTCCTCCCTGCTGCAGCCTCCGGAAAGGAGAGACGAGGAAGCAGAGGCCACCCGGATGCCAGCGCGCCCCCAGCCCGCCACCGAGCAGCCTGGCCCTGGCGGGCGCGCTCCACCGTCAGCGAAACTTTGGGACTCACCCCGGAGAGGCGCGCCCGGGCCAGTGGGCGGCGCGTGGGCCCGCCCTGCCCTCCACGGGCGCCCGCAGACCCTGCCTCTGGCTCGGGGCTGGGCCTGCACGCAGAAGGTCCTCGCTCCTTCACTCCCGCTACATGCTGTGGCCCTAAGCTTCCCCAGACCTTTTATGAACCAGTAAGAACGCAGTCATTCAGGGTCGCAAGGAAGGGCGAGACTGTCCCTTGTACCAGGTCCTAGTGGAGCCACTTCCGCGCATGCAGACCCTGAGCCTCACCGTACTTTTACCTGGTGAGACCTGTCAACTTAGAAGGGACTCTGGAAAATTCTGAATCTGTCCATGAACAGAAATCTACGTGCAGATTTGCTGCACCTGGTATGGTCCAGTGGAGGTGGGTTTTTGGTTTTTGGTTTTTTAATCGAATCAATGTGAGATAGAGATTTACAAAGCTGATCACAGTCAGGTTTCAGTCATACAGTATTCCAACATCCGTCCTTCCACCAGTGTACATTTCCCACCACCAATGTCCCCTGTTTCCCTCCTGCCACCCTACCCCCAGCCTGCCTCTATGGCTCTCTCATTCTCTCTCCAGCTCTCTTTCTCTGCCTCTCTATCTCTCTCATCTCTCTCCATCTCTCTCTCCATCTCCATCTCTCTCTTTCTCTCTCTCTCTCCCTCTTCCTCCCTCCCATGGTTTGCAATCCTGGTCCTGAGAGATTATCCTGTTCATTATCCCATGGACCATGGTTTGCAATCCTGGTCCTGAGAGATTATCCTGTTCATTCCTTTACCTGTTCTCAGCGTGATTATTTCCAACAATCTTTGTCACTGTGGTCCCTTATCTATCCCAAATGCTGGGGTGATGGTAATTGGGATACAGTGGAGTTTTTTTTTTTTTATCAGGTTTGTCACCTGCCTTAGTAACCTCTTGCACTAGGTCTAGAAAAATGTAGTTTCAGGGTTGTCAGAGAGTGGAGGCAAGTTGCTGGTCAGTTCAGAGTCTCTGGTCCAAAGGAAGTTGACACTCCAGTATGATGAAGACAGGAATCAATTTCACACCATCATTCTGACTAAGATTGATGGGGACAATGGGAAAATCTGATTTATTTGTTAAACTGGAGTCTTTTATAGAGAGAGACTTTAAAAAGTAGTTTAAATATTGAGGTAAGATCTCTTCACAAAGTCTTAGAAAACAACTTTCTGTGAGCCGTCACTTCTTATGAAGATTAGAAGCAGCAGAATCTTGTAAAGACACATTTAAACTTAGACCAGGTAGAGATGTGTTGGTGCCATCAGTTTATCTGAATCCCTCTATTCAGGAGCGCGACTGCAGAATGAGAAGAGAACATGTGAACTTCAATTGTCAAGAAATCAATTATCAATTACCATGAGATGGTTTATATTTTGTAGAAGGATGAAATAAATTTGAACCTCCATCCCCAAAACTAACATTTTGATACTCATAATGTTCATAGATTATCTCTCTCTCTCTGACACAACGCACACACACACATGCACACACACACACGCGCACATGCGTGCGCGCGCACACACACACACACACACACACACACCTTTCTCAGGAAGTCACAAAGACCGTTAGCTATCCAGTATAAAAATCATTAGTTTTCTTAGAACATTCTGGCATGGTCCTCATAGGTATGTCCTGTATTTGTTAATAATATACCTTTTTTTTTCAAAATAATTGAAGCAGACTTGATCACTTGATTGCTTGACATCCCATTACTCATCTATTTGCTCAAGTGGCTGCCAGTAACATCTCCATTTGTCCCTGTTGCGTGCTAGTGTAGCACAATGGCATGTGCTCGTTCTAGGAACACAAAGAGCCTCAAACCGATTGTCTAGGGTCTTGACAAAGAAGTCAGACCATCTCGTAGGTGGGCGGCCACACGATCTTTTGACGTCCCATGGAATCCAGTCAGTAACGGCTCTAGTCAAGCGGTCATCTCCAAATTTCATCACGTGTCCACCCATCTGATTTTTGATGCCTTGGCAAACGAGACAGTGTCCCTGATTCTTGACCATTGACAGAGGTTGGAACTCTGTAGTCTTTCTCTCATTTGAGTGAAGCGTGATACTTCAAGCATAGCTCTTTCTATTCCTCTTTGGGAGACCCAAATAGCGTTCTCATCCTGTTTTCATAGGGTCCAGGTCTCTGAGGCGTATGTTAATGCAGGAAGAACAGTGGAATCAAAGAGATGTGCCTGGAGTCAGAGGTTCTTCATTCTCTTAGCTATTTCTTTGACGCTCTTGAAGGCGTTTCAAGCTGCTCTCTCCCTCCTGCGCAACTCAGGTGCCAGATCATTTGTCATGTTGACTTCTTGACATAGGTACACATAACTGTTGCATTCGGAAATGTTCGTTCCGTTGAGAGCGAATGGAACGTCAGGATGAGACTGTTTCTCATAAACATTGTCTTCATGAGATTCAGCTGTAGTCCAACCTTTCCACACTCACAGTCGAAGTCGGCCAGCATTTGTGCCGCTTGGCTAAAAATGTTTGGTGTTATTAGAATGATGTCATCAGCAAAGCGGAGGTGGTGTAGTTGCCTACTGTCTATCTTCACTCCCATTTATTCCCATTCCAGTCGCCGTATGACATTCCTGAGGGTGGCACTGAAGACTCAGTAAATACAATGGGTCTCATTTAAAGCAGACAGCTGTTAGAAATAGACATCTTGCTTTCTATGCCATATTTAACTGTTTGATTTTTATAGATTTTAAGACCTGGATCCCATTGATTATACTTATCAACAAGCATACTCAGAGGAGCCCTAATTGACTACACTTGTATATGGTTCTCTATTCTGGCTGTATAGTATAATTAGATTGTTATAACATCTCAATGTTCCCTCCACGCCTGATATTTTCATCCTTGGATTTGCAGTGGTGCTGTCCTCATTTACATATTAGAATTAAGGAAAACATGTTAGTTTTCAAATCCACTTGTCTAAACTTAATGTTTTCAGTCTGTTGACTAAAGCAAACAAATCAGTAACTAGGAAGCATTGTCTTTACAAAGGCAATTTCCTCCCTAATATATCTCTAAGCTGAGTCTAGTATCTGGTGCTATAATAGGCTTTCCAGAATATCTGTTCTCTTTTTTAGGAGTTCAGCTTATCTGGATACCTTCATTCTCATTCTAAACACAAATATCCAAAATCTGGTAAGAAGAAAAAATCCTTTGAGGGAGGAAATCTATCTTATTGTTTTGAAATTTAGTGAGTACTAAGTTATACATAGAAAATGAATTAAGCACCTGAGGCTCTTTGCATCTACATGGACAATCAATGGTCTCTTGATCATTATTTAGTCTTGAGTGCTTCTTATTCCTCATCTGTGGGTTGAGAAAGGTAATAAAACCTATCTAATAGTGTTACACCCATAAAAACAATGTGTATAAGGTTTAAAGAAGTGCCTTGTGCATGGTGATCATATTAATTATTCCATGAATAATTAATACTAGCTATTATTATTATTAGAAAAAAATTGGTCTTACATTCCTGAAACTATTATGCTAAAACACAGCAAACTACTCAGATAGCCAGAAAGATGGACTGGCTTCTAGCAATACGTTTAAAAACTGGCAAAGCCCATTAGTCAACATTTTACTGTACTTGCGTTTCAATCATTCAAGAGTATGTCACTGTGCTTTGTAAGGGTTTTACCTCCCCTGTTTAGATTTTCTCTTTTCTGAATTTGGTTTAATGTTACACCAGTTCACTCATTCATTCAGGAACATTGCCTCTGTTCCAAGTGTGAATTTTCTCTTAATGCAAACACTTATTTCCACGTTCATGCCATGTTTCACACTATGTCAATTACCATCTTCTAAAATATTTTGTTAGCATCATTTGAAAGATTTCAGGGCTGGCTATTTTCTCAAATGGCAATCTTACAAAACATTATCTGCTATAGGATCTTTTTTGTTGAATGTCAAACTCGCATTTTCTTTTTCAGTGTAATCTGCCCAAATCTATTGACACCATCTAGCCAGTGGAGATAGTGGTGTCTCTTACCAACTTAAGAACATTTTCTATGGGCACTGGTGGAGAGATGGGTACTGGATCACTGTATAACTGAAACCCAAGCACAAAAATTTGTAAGTCTACAACTGTACCTCATGGTGTTTCACTAATAAAAATTTAAAAAAAAAAAACCATTTTCTAGCATTTGGTAAAGAATGCTTTCCTTATACGTGGACTAGAATTCATATGAAATGAACATTTTCATATTTTCATTTATAATTTTCTCTGTCAAAAGCCACAATATTTACTGGAGGCTATTTTTATTAGGATCCACATAGAGGTTTTTTTTTGTTTTGTTTTTGGGCCACACTTAGCAATGCTCAGCAGTTATTCCTGGCTCTGCACTCAAAAATTACTCCTGGTGGTACACAGGGGAGCCATATGGGATGCCAGGGATTGAACCTGGGTCATCTGCATGCAGAGCAAGCACCATACCCACTATATTATAGCTCTGGCCC